ATAACCAATATTTTTTTTAAAAAAAAATGAACATCACACATTCTTTGTGTTTGAGAATATTTTTCATTCTGCAGCCAGCGTGTAAGACTTTGTGCGTTTGACCGCTGTAATTTTCGGTTTGGGAGATTTTTGAGCTTGGGTAATAGTAGTGAACATGTTTCCTGACACATTAATCTTTAATTAAATCATTATATGGTTTAATTTTGTCTTCAAGTTAGCTTATTTTATCCGATCAAATGTGATTATTACAGATCTGCAAAATCTAAATATCGAGACTAATTTTTTCGCTCTAAATGTGGAATCAATAACATGAAAATTCATTCTCAATTGGGTCGGGTCTGAAACTTGTAATGTTTGCTTGTGGAATCGATAACATGGAAATTCGTTCTCAATTGGGTCGGGTCGACAAACTTGTAATGTTTGGTTTTCCGATTATTACAATTTACCACAAATTGATGTGTAAGACCGTACAATCGTTAAGAGGATGATTGGATATAAAAATTTTTGGTTTTGTTTGGATTTTTTTGTTTGGTTTGGTTAGATTTGAAAAAGTTGGTATGGTTAGTTGTTAGTGGATATATTAAAATAATATTTAAAATTAAATGATTAAAGTTGATTTGATGTAAAGTAAGAGAGAGGAGATTTGAAGTGATGGTTAGTTAAAATTATGTGAGTAGATGAATAGTGAATTAAGGTGATGTGGTGTGTAAGAATGATTGATTTGATATTTTTTAATTATATTGATAATATTGATGATAGTAGGGTTGAGTTAAAGTTGAGTTAAAAAAGTGGTTGAGTTAAAAATGTTTGGATTTTTTTTGTATCCAAGCATGATCTAAGCAGGTTAACCTTTATAATGACAAATGCATATTGATATTATAAAGTATCATATTTTTATTTCAGTTAATCTTTAAAATGTGACATTTTCATTTAAAAATATTCATCCACTTATATTTACTACTGTAAATTTAGAATTAGATACAATGTATTTGTTTCGGAGTAAGATTCGTGTATCATGCACTAATATTAGAATCTATATCTATATCTATATATATATAAAGGTTTTAATATTTTAAAATAGTAACTATTTCCCGCCAAAAAAATATTGTATACTAATTGTGGAAACTATTTAAACATTTTATGGTATGTTTTCAAGATACAATTTAAGTAATAAATCATATAATTTTTTTTTTTTTTT